GTGTGTGTGTGTGTGTGTGTGTGTGTGTGTGTGTGTGTGTGTGTGTGTGTGTGTGATGGAGAGAATGAAATGGAGTGGGTAAAAATGAATCTGTTGTCTGATTTGGTGTAGTAGCTTTCTGAATGCTAAGGATTTGAACGTGCACTGTATGTTGTGCAGACATTTGATCAATGATTTTTAACCAGGAAGCATTTCATATAGAAAGACTGCAGTGTCACCACTTGACATTTGCTAATTATTGACTTGTTGTTGAGTGACTGACTGAATTAAAGTCACTGCAGTAAACAGATTTCCACAAGATGAAACTCAACAATAGGGATGTGGCAATTAAATTAAATCGACCCTTAAAGCAGTAACATGTTGCAACATTCTGTTGTAGCGAGAAGTAATATAGATCTGCACTGAAGAAAGTCAGTTTCAGCCTGTGCTTTGCTTTTATTTATAAATCATGTTAAAGTATAAATAATCTAAATAACCTAGTTCTAGGTTACCTAGTTAACCTAGGTCAAAAATGATTGAGTTGGGTAAAATACACACACACACAACAAATCTAGTTAAAGCCAGCCTCACCATAGGTGCTGTCTTCATCCTTGGTTCCGTCAATGGTGCCATCAGGCTGCATCTGCAGCTGGAAGCCCTGGCGACTGGAAAGCCTGGTCACAATGCCCTTTAACTGGGGCTCTAAGAGGAAAACAGAAACATTAAGTGCATTCTTTTCTTACTGCTGTCATGTGATCACATGCATCAAATCCAGCAGCCTCCAGGAAGCCAGAAGTGTCAGAGGAGGAGACGCTGTTTGTATTTCCCGTCACTGATGCTTGAGGGCCCTGACCACCAGTATCGATCCGTGGCAGTTCCACTAAACATTGTGGAACTCATAAAAAAAGATGCCTTTAAAAAAAATAAATAAATAAATCAGCTAATAATTGACACATGTATCATGAGTAGGATCACTTAGGGTTGTGCTTTTCAACACTTTGCTGTGGGACAATGTAAAGTTACTCATGTGAGACGTTTGTGGGTTCATGCAACAGGATTGTGACACTGTCCTCAGAGTGAGGAGTGATGAAGTGATGAAGAACCTGCCTTAGTGATGAGAAAAAAAAATAATGCTGAATGGTGGCAGAGATGAGGATGGCGATGATGCTGAAGGTGATGGTGAAGATGGACGAGGTGGTGATGCTACCCGCCGGCTATCCGACTGTCCCCACCCCCCCTCCTCACAGACCTGGTGGTCGCCTTCTCTTCCGTTTCTTCCTCGAGCCAAACAACTTGACACGCGAAAACACGTTCAGTTTGCTCGGTTTCTCGTTTGCGCCTTTGCTGTTGCTCGGGCTGCCGCTTCCGCGGCATGCGTTTGCCTTCTCCCGCTCCCTCGCCTGTCGCTTCTGGCGGATCAGGGAGCTGGCGATAGCCGCTGCCCGGGACATGTTTCCCCGGTGGAGTGAAACAAGGCTGCGCGTCCTGGGTTGGAGAGGGCGATCGCGGACGAGGCGGTCGGGGTGTGTGGAGCGCGGGGAGAGGGGTTGAGGGGTGGGGGTCTACACCACCCACGGCTCAGTTCGCATCACACACCGACCGATGCAGTCTCCGTGATTTTAAAAAGCGTCCAGAATCCTCCATCGGTGCGTCCCGGCGCTTCATGGAAGTCGTTAGATCCAGCACCGTGCCAGTGACTGAGCGCTAACGACGCCGCCTCACATCCCCGCAAGGGGTCTGAGTGGCAAAGAGCGCTCTGATTCCCCCCTCTGGTGATTCCTCCGAGTGTCCCGAGAGAGAGAGAGAGCGTGGACGGAGAACGACGGCGCGTGAGATTCTCCAGGTCCGAGTGGCAAATCAACAGAGTGTAAGCTGGCGTGAACGACACCGGGGGTTGTTGACGATCGCTGCAGCTGCTACTGCCTCCTCTTCTCCTTCTTCTTCTTCTGCTGCTGCTGCCGCTCTGCACCGTTCCCCCGGCGATGCTCCTCTTCTTGACGCTGTCCGTGACAGAAATGCAGCAACTGGGATGTTTGTCAATGAAACAGCTCGGGGCTGGCTCAGTGGGAAAGGGATCATGGTGCAGCCGTGCCGTTCATAAAACTGCTGCAGCCCTGCCCGCCGCGAGGAAGAAGAGTGAGGAAGGGGAGGTGGAGCGGGTGTGTGTGTATGCGTGTCCGTGCAGTGTGTGTGTGTGTGAGGAGAGGGGGTGTCAGATGAGACTGGTGGGGGCTGGACGGTGTGTGTGTGTGGGGGGGGGGGGGGGGGGGGGGGGGTGTGGGGGGGGGGGGGGGGGGGCAGTGCTTTCTCATAGGGCACCTGTAGCCCCTGTACCCCCACGTGGCATGATATTTACATGATACACTAAATATGCTGATGTGTGATAGGCGGACTGAGAGAGACAGAAGGAGAGGATAAAATGGGAGGTGGGAGAATAAACAATGAAACAAGAGAGGAGACAGACAGGTGAATGAATGAGAGGAGGAATAATGAAAGAGGGGGTGGGCGGAAGAGAGAAAATGAGATACTGAGTGTGTTGGAGAGAGAAAGAGAGAGCGATGCAGAGAGAGAGGGAGACGCTTGTAGAAAATAACCTGCAAATGGATTGGAAAAGAGAATGATGAATGAAAAAGGAGGGAAAAATAAATCCAGTAGAAGACAGGAGAAGGAAAGTGCAAGACTATTCCACACATCAGGAAAAATGATGTATATGAGGGGGAACTACATGATAATGAAATAAGAGAAATGAAGTGAAGGGACAATGAAGGAAGAGGGTGGGAGAGAGAGTGAGAGAAAGACCCAGCAAGTGTGCATGAGGGGAAGAAATCAGAAGGGGGGTAGAGAAAGGAGGGGCTCTAATATTTTGGTGCAGAGGTTCACCACTGCTGAAAAGGCTGCAGCATGCAAGAAGGAGGTGAAAAAGACGGCGGCACTTGTGTCTCTGCGAGCTGTGTCGTTCTCTAGATGTTCCCTTTTTGCATTTGCACCAGAGCAGAGGTGCACACACACACACACACACACACACTAGGCAGCAGCAATCAGCCACTCGGTGCATGTCGGCTGGCCACAGGCAGCCCCCACAGGAAAACAGATGCACAGTTGTCAGAGACAAAAACAGCTGCAGTGGCGGATGGTGACTGCTAATTCCAACTGGTACTGAGGAAGAGGAGGCGGTGGACACACAGCCGGCAGACGAAGGTCGACCTGCATGTGGCAACAGCCGCTGAACAGCGGGCAGAGTCGATGCATGCTGTTCTCCAGCGGGAGAGATCGATGGCTGGGGGAGTAAGAGGATGTGGTGAGCAGTAAACTACACGAATGAAGAGGATCCAAACCCAGTGAGCTGTAACCCAATGTGAGGATAAGACAGCTGGAGAACGTGATGGACCGTGGACAGACACTGAGGTCTCCACACTGCTAAAGTGGAGCATTTACCCTGCCGCTGACCGAGGAAGTTGAAGTACCACCGATGGCCTTCTGGTTAGGTAAGGACTCTTGTAAACATGCACAGATAAATATAGTTTTACTTTGCAGTTCAACCCACGCTCTTTGAGACAACACTCAAAAATCTTTCATAACTAACCGGTAAAGTCAACTAAAACATCAATCACATGAAGGAAAACAGCTGGAGCAAAGAAGTGACTGAAAGCTAAATCTAGTTCTTCATGTTTCTTTTATGAGCTCACTGCTTTAAACCCAACCACAGGCCTCTAAAAGCTTGAGCCACACAAAATAAGAGCCACGTAAAAAACATCAGATATAAAGTGATCCTGAGGAACATTAACACAGCCTTCAGCCATCACGATAACTCATTTCATCTTTACAGAGAACAAGCAAATCAATAAAATCAACCAACAGAAAAGCAATGAAAAAAGAGACAAGGTACAAAGATTTAAAAATAAATAAATGGCTATCCATAATTAACATCTATTTGAGGTGTAGCTAGAAATGACACAGTGATGTCTGAAATGGAGACAAACAGTCTGAAGAATGTGAGTAGTATGTACTCTGTGATAAGGAAGTGAAGGTCTTTAAGCTTTGCTTGGAGTTCATTAGCGCCACCAATTGGCAGTTTAAGAACTGAATACATTAAAAAAAAGTTGGAAAAAAGAAAAATACTTAAAACAAAAACAGCAGCCTAAACTTTAAAAAGTTTTTTTTAAAAACTGTGAGAAACTCAGTCTAACCACACAAAAGTCGGAAATAGTGAAATCAGCCACGCACAACAACATTCACAGCTTGTGGTACAAAAGTCAACACTTTAAATTCTTTGCGACTGGCCGCCACGACATTACGAGGCTAAAAGCTTCAATGAAATGCTCAGACCCGGAATTTGTTTGCGCCTTTAATCCATCAATGCGTTGTTTGAGTCGCGCTTGGAATATTTTATTTAACGTAAAACTTTGGATGCAAAGTGGAGGAGACCGTGTAAGAAACTGCACTGCAGGCCGATTCTACACTAAAGGGATTATCCGAGTCTTCGCTGTGCCTTACAGGACTGGTTGCAAACTTATAATAGAATTCATTAACTAAACTCCCAAAACTCACTCAGAATGTTTCTCTGTTGAGTTTCATGTTGTGTTTTTTCTTTTCTTTAAGTTAAGCCCGTGAAATAAACTCAGAGCCGAGGCGATTCATTGTGAATGTGTTTGTGTTTTAAGGAGCCAGCGCGTTGCTAAGGTGTGCTGAAGTCCAGCTGTCCTCCCAATAGAAGGGCGCGTCCTGCCTTGTTTTCAGCACCACGGACAGCGCTTCATCTTTAAACCCATTTTATTTAAAAACAAAACAAACAAAAAAAAACACGTTAAACTTTTTTAAATAGAAAATTATCAACATTAAGTTAAGCATTTTAAATATTCTAAGGTCCACAATTCACATTCGTAATTCAGAAGCCACTTCAAACACGTCCGGCGCCTGAGTTGCGCTGTTTGAACTTAGTTTAGCGCGTCTCTTTGCACATCTTATTACCAGAACATATTGGTGACATTTAGGCACAGATGTGGCTCCTTTTTCTAGCTAACTTTGTCCTTTCTCATCTTACCTGAAGTGGATCGGCGGAGAGGGAAAGTCATGCTGCGCCCGCGGAGCTCTGGAGCCTTTTGCTCCTGGCTTTTTGCACTTCCTGTTGTGCGCCGCTCGTCGAAAACAGGGCGAATTATGGAAGTTCAAACCAGACAATTCTCCACGGCATTGGATCCATTAAGGCCGCGTACATGGCGTTGACGGGAGATCATTACAGAACATTAGAGGCCATTAAGCCGTTGGAACCGGTCATTAATGATTCATCTCGAGGCCCCGCTGATCTGGCACAATAAGAGAGGGAGAGAGCCAGCAGGCCCTTCCCAAATCCAAGGACCTATCGAGGAAACGCTGTCTGTGTTTGTTTTTCCTTGTAATGTGGCTGAGACACATTCATCCAAATCTATGTTACTGCAGCCGACATATAAATACTCTCTGATGACCTCTTTCAACACTTAAACACAGTTATTCTCTGTCCAAAAACATGACAGCTATATTTACACGGGCCTCCTGTGACTATTCTGGTCAGTATCCAAGCTTGTTTTTTGTTACTTAAACAATTCATTTACCAGCAAAACATATGGTTATTTAAACAATTGCTAAAAAAAAATGTAAACAAACAAAAAGAAATAATCAGGTTTTAATCCCCAAAATCATGCAATCAGATTCATGTTTTCCATTCCCTCAAAAAGCAGTAAACATTACAACAGAGACTCTGGTGCTTACTGCCCAAACTGGGGCGTGAGTCATTAAACACAAACCTTTTTAAAATGCCATGTCAAATCCAGCTAAACAGTTTTAACAAAGAGAAGCAGGAAATTTCTCAGCTGCACTTGTTGAAATAAATCAGATTAATAGGAAACAAGGTCTACATCAGATATTGCTCTTTTCAGTATTTGTCACAGCTTAAACTGCACCAATCCATAATTGTAGTCATCGACCTTAAACAAGCTCCAGGCGAAATTCTTATTTATATTTGCTTCTAATTAAACCCTGATTACAAGTTCAACCAGTGGAGCCAACATGCTTCGTGATTCAAATTTTAGGTCTCATATAGAAAACTGATTACACTGTTTCACTGTTGGAGCCTTTCAGGCAGACACACACACACACACACACACACACACACACACAATTCTGTTAAGATAAACAACTAGAAGTGAAACTACTAAAAACTTTAATTCAGAGGCAAACTCACATAGTGTGCACACAAATACACAAGCAAACGCACCATTAGTGGCTCTCTCACAGTGGGCTTTCCACATCATAGCACATTAAATAGCAGCCTCACTCAGAGACATGCCCATGAACCATATAGAGACTCTACACAATTATCCACAACTGTGTATTATAAGCCCATTACACTGCTGTGCTCTAAGAGCTCTTCCTGTGAAGCTGCCTGGTAAAAGACAGCAGCATCCATATTACTGACATGATACGCAAAGAATAACAGACAGCAGCAACTGCTGCTGCATGCACTGCAGTACAGAACATCCCTAGTAGGACAAGTAATTTAAAACAAAACCTCTTTGAAATAACTCTGTAGATTCTGATTTTACATAGTTAACATTTCCAGAGAACCGATATTATTGTTTTTTTGTCTTTCTTTCTTTCTTTCTTTCTTTCTTTCTTTCTTTCTTTCTTTCTTTCTTTCTTTCTTTCTTTCTTTCTTTCTTTCTTTCTTTCTTTCTTT